GTCCCTTGGCAGCTTCACTTTCTGTACAGGGGTATGGTCCTGCTTCAGTCTTGATGACAAGAGAGGATCTTAGACTGCCAGAATGCAGAGGATAAGAGACTATGGGGACCAGTCTAACAATGCAGTAGAGCCTGCAGGAGTAGATGATTATTAAAACTTCTTTATCTAGTCCCCCTAAACATAAAATAGCAGTTAACCCTGGCAGTGCAGACACAGTCCCACTGCCAGGAAGGACTTTCATTTTTTTTCTGAATTCAACTTCAAAGTGGAAAAATAAGCTGGGATTTGTTGTGTAAACTGCATTTGGTGCTTGTGCAGTGCTGTGTTTACTCCCAGCCCATTCCAGGAATCTCTGATAAAAATAGAGGCAGTTGTTGGGATAATGGAAGTCTTGAGTGCATGCACAGAAGTTACATTATCAGTGGCCATCCAGTGGACGACAAGAAGCAATGGAAGGAGGACCTGGAAGAAGATGATGGTAGCATGAACAATGAGGAGCAGTGAGGGACAGTTCTAAACTGTCTGCATGGGAAGAGGACAAACAGCCATGTGAGTCTGCCATATATATGCATACTGCATACTAGGTTATGGCAGGAGCACACAGAACTACGGCTCAGCTTTAATTCTACATCTTCTAAAAGGTGAAATATCACTTTTTGGGTGGACTGATATTTTCCATGGGCAAAGTTGTATTAGTTAACAAAACAAACGTAGTTGTCACTGAGAAGTGGTTTAAAGTAAGACATCTGGTGACACTAACATTTCTTTAGGTTTACTGTGAAGTGGATAACAAGCGTCAATCTTCTGTCTCAAGCCAACACAGACTTGATCTATGCAGCTGAAAAATTGGAGATCATCAGGAAAAAGCTTGAGGTATGTCACATATATGTTGACTGTTATGTGCTATTCTTTAGAAACGTCATCCAGATATGATCATTGTTTTGCTTTTGCTGTCTACTGTTCTAAGCTTGAAGAGAAATCAAATGCACAGAGTGACCCACAGGTTAGAAAGTACCTGTGTTTGTTTAACTGCCACCTAGATTTTTGATGTCTTTCTAGGGATACATTCATACCTAAGCATCATGTTTTCAAGAGTTTTTTCAAGCAATTTTCAAGTTTTTTTGAACGTTTTATGGAGCAGAATTGCAGGTTTTTGCAGCTTTTGTCAGGCGTTTTTTCAGCTAGGTGTTTTTTTTTGCTTATGTGCTGCCAATGGAAGAGAGCTGCTGTTTGAGCTGAAAAAGCGCTCAGTTTTTCTGCTTGAAAAGTAGCTCATTTTTTTTGTAGCAGCAACAGGTATTTTGCTACAAGGGACAAGCGTGGTACAAGGGACAAAGTGGTAAGAAAGGTGGTTCAAAGGGCTCATTTAGACTTGTGGTTGGGAGGGGAGGTTGTTAAAAACACACGGTGGAGCTGGTGAAGGTGGGGAAGGGAAGGGGGGAAGAGGAGGGGAAGGGGGGTGGAGGAACAGAAGGGGGGCCAAGAAGAAATAAACAATAGCCAATCAGACAAGCAATACAAACTGGACATACCCGCAAAGGTAAAAAACCCCAAGTGTTATACCAAAAGGCCTTTTGCCTCCACCCACCCAGCCCATATTCTATCAAAATATACAAGAAATGTGCAGCGCTAAAATTAAATAAAATTCAATAAAAAGGTACATATAAAAAACATCATGATAAATAAATTATGAAAATGTTCATAAAATGACTGTAAGTGCTCATAGGAATCCTGCGTTCTCTTTAATTCGGTGCTTGTGCAATCAGGTATAGAAGAAATGCGCACTCACCGGAACGCATAATATAATGCGCGTTTGTATAATAAATCCTGATGTCATCAAGATCATCCGCTTAGCCACGCGTGCGCACTAAATTCGGTCTCTCTAAAGATGGCGCCTGCCGAAAGCTTCCTGCACCCTCCGGCCCACCAAATCCACTTCCTCCCACCGTCTAGCCTGCAGCCCCCCAATCAGGAGGAGGTATTCTCATTAGAGTCCCAATATTGCTCCAGTGCCTTCCCTATAGGGGGTTTTTACATCAGGATCAGTGATCCATTACCAAGATAACCTCCAGACTTTTTCCCCCGGCTTCTGTAGAACAGACAGCAGTACAAACTGGTCAAAAGTTTTCTCTATATCAAAGTGGGGGGGAGATGTTTGTGTACTTCACACACAGAAATAAAAAATAATGAAAACTGATAGCAATTAGGCAGACAGCACAGGAAGTTATTATTGAACAAATATAGCAAAACAGTTAATTTGGTATATTTGAAGTGATCATAAAGGTTCTGAATTTTTTAAAATAACGAACATTATACTTACCTGTTCTATGCAATGATTTAGCACAGAGCAGCCCTGATCCTCCTCTTCTTGGGTCCCCATTGGTACTCTTGACCCCTTTCCCCTGCTGAGTGTTCCAACTGATTTCGGATAATTGTCGGCCATACCTACAAGACTTAAAGTGATATTAAAAGCAATTTAAAAAAAGTCATACTTACCTGCTCTGTGCAGTGGCTTTTCACAGAGCAGCCCTATTCTCCTCTTCTCGAGTCCTCCAATGGCGCTCCTGGCCCCTCCCTCCTGCCAAGTGCCCCCAGAGCAAGCAGCTTGCTGGGGGGGGGCACTCAAGCAGGCTTGCTCCCCAGCCACTGTGTCCATTCACACACAGAGCCATGGCTCAGCCCCCGCCCCCTTTGCCTCATTGGCTAAATGGCTGTGATTGGAAGCATTAGGAGCCAATGGATCACGATGGGGCTCAGGTAAGTATTAGGGGAGCTGCTGCGCACAGAAGGTTTTTTTTACCTTCATACTTAGAATGCATGAAGGTAAAAAACCTTGAGCCTTTACAACCACTTTAAGTTCTATCTAGACTTGTAGCCTAGTCATGTAACCAAAGTTTAAGTAAAAAGCAAAAACAAGTAATGTATAGGTCAGAGATAATATTTATATTTTAATTTCCAGATGCTTTTTGCAGCTCTTAATTTCTATTAAGCCTAGCAACAAATTTTCCAGTGTGAACTAGCCTAACAATATTCCCAACACAGCACTGAATAGTGGCATTACATGAACTACACAATAAGTTGTGAAAGAAAGCTGATGATGAAGGAAAGATGCAGCGGGCATTTAATAAGTAGAACAACGGTGAGATAATTAACGGGCATGCATAAAGATTCATGCTTTATACCAAAATTTTAATTTTGCACATAAATGTTCCTGATGTAGGCAGCATTTAATCACCTAGCTGACAGGAGTAACTACTTTCATTTAACCTTGACTGAAGATCATGAATTCTAACAGGTTTAATTGGGTACATCATTTAAGAGAATGAACAGAGCAAATTTTTCTCAATTCATAGACTCTGATTGACATGCACTAGCAATGCTACATTGCACAATTAACGTTGCTCTGTATTCCAGATATGGACAATGATTGCCATAGTGATGTGACATTGTTTGATCACAGTAGCTAAAAAAATTGTTGCTTTTCCCCTTGTCTAGAAGAGGGCAAAGTTTAAAATAAAAAAAATGAAAATGAGACATTTGTGCTGGGGCTCTTTGTTTGTTCTCATTTAATCCCATTAACATTAATCTAAGCAATGAATTTTAACGGCAAAAACAGACAAGTTGCTGTCTTATCTTCAAAAGCTGCAATCACTGTAAAGCTTAAATATAAAAATATTATCATTGAAATTTATAGATGTACTATTTTGTTTACATTTCATGAAAACAGATGCATTTATTTCATATCTATGGCAGGTTGGCTTAATTTTAGATTCTTAAAGACTTGTTAACCAACTTGTTAACCAAGTCACAATTAAATATATTTCATATATTACACTGCAAGTCACTCATCTATGTAAATTCTCTAATTTTATATGAGTGTGACATAAGTTTCAACCATGAAGTGGCACAGTTGAGTACTGTCAGTGATATTTTAACTAGTAACAGTTAATATTTCAGGACAAGCTTTCAAGTGCCTACCCCAAGGTCCAAGCAGTACTGATACACAAAGGTTAACTGTGTTGTTGCAAATGCCACTCTACTATCTGGTATTTTATCTCGATGATGCTTACATCTAATTTTTCTTTAAAATGTATTTCCACCTTTGCAGTCAAATTTGAATCCCTCGCTATATGTTTGTTATATATTCCCATTCATACAGTGCACCTAAAATAATCTAAAAAGAAAAAATATCTCTAGTTGTTTATTTAGAGCAGGTTTATACATAGGATTCATAGCTCCTATTGTTTAGAATAGCTTGAAATGTGCATTTAGGGGACAGACGAACAGGTTTTTTTTTTAAGTATGTTAACATACAATGTATCACTCGAGCCTTGATATCTTTAAGAATCTTTAGGACAGAGACAGACAGTGTTCATATCTAGTTTGCAACTGATAATGAGATCTCACAGCACAAAAAGGTTTAATTATGGTAAAAAATTTCCCCAGCCCCCTCGTTATATAGAAGGAGACATTAAGTAAGAATTTGCAAAAAGTAAACATGGTTGTAAATGTAAAAGGTTTTTTACCTTAATGCATTCTCAAGAGCAACTCCCCTTGCACCCTCTGCTAAATACTCACCTGAGCCAAATATCAGTCCAGCACTGTGTACGTCTCCAGTAGCTCCTCTCCCCTTTCCCAGCTATCACAGGCTTGGCTGAGAGCAGCGGGAGCCATTGGCTCCTTCTGCTGTTAGTCAAAACCAGCATGAACAAGTGACCACCATTGGAAGCAGCTTCCTATGGCAGGCTTGCGGTGGGGGGATGAACCAGGAGTGCCAGAGGGGGACACAAGAAGAGGAGAGTCAGACCTGCTCTGTGCAAAACTATTGCAGGTAAGTATGACATGTTTATTATATTAACTAAAAAAAAACTGAAGCTTCAATGTCACTTTAACCACCTCCCGCCCACCATATAAGGAAATGACGGGCGCAAGGCAGTTCTCTCGTACTGAGAGGACGTCATATGACGTCCTCACACTCTAACCACTCGTGTGCGCCCAGGGTGCACAGCACGGCCACCGGTGGTGCGCTGTCTCCCTAGGACACAGCGGATCACCGATCAATGGAAACAGCCGATGACGTCGGCTCTGTCATGTGATCAGCTGTGTCCAATCACAGCTGATCGCATGTAAATAAGGAAATGCCGGTTATCAGCATATCTCTGCTCACGAGCTATCAGCCCATGAGGAGAGGAGAGCCAGTAATTGGTATTTCTCAGAGGGGACATGTACACTGATCATCAGGGCACTGATGATCAGTGCCCTGATGATCAGTGTAGTCCCATCAGTGCCACCTGTCAGTGTCCATCAATGCCACCTGCCAGTGCCCATCAGTGCCACATCAATGCCACATATCAGTGCCTACCAGTGCACTATAATTTCACATATCAGTGCCCATCTGAGCTGTCTTCCAGTGCCACCTATTAGTGCCAGTCAGTGCCGCCTATCAGTGCTGCCAATCATTGCCACCTATCAGTGCCAGTCAGTGCCACCTAACAGTGCCAGTCAGTACCGCCTATCAGTGCCATATATGAGTGCTGCCTTTCATTGCCCATCAGTGATGCCTGTCAATGCCCATCAGTGCCTCCTCATCAGTGCCCATCAGTGCAGCATATCAGTGCACATCACTGAAGCCTCATTAGCGCACATCAGTGAAGAAGAAAAATCACTTATTTAGAAAATTTTATAACAGAAACTAAGAAAAAATTTTTTTTTTTTCAAAATTTTCTGTTGTTTTTGGTTTGTTTAGCAAAAAATAAAAAACCCAGAGGTGATTAAACACCACCAAAAGAAAGTTCTATCTGTCTCAAAAAAGATAAAAATTTCATATGAGTACAATGTTGCATGACTGCGCAATTGTCATTCAAAGTGCTGAAAGCTGAAAATTGGCCTGGGCAGGAAGGGGGTATAAGTGCCCTGTAGGAGAGTGGTTAAGCAGTAATTTTAAACAGTTATGCTGTGTGACTGGGAGCATGTATCAGATATAAAATAGGTGCCACTTCCCTTTCCAACCCTTGCCTGCTAACTGGACTGCTAGTGTATATATCACAACAATGATAACAGCCCTGAACCCTCTTTCCTACTGTAAGCCCCTCAAGTATACTATGTCACTGCCGTGGGTATAGAAACAAGAAAGCCCCTTTCAGGTCTGCCCTTCAGGTGTGCTCCTGGGTGTAACAGCTCAACACAGACAGATTTAAGTATGTACCCTAGTGGGAAAAAAAAGTGCTTTCATGGCTTTTGACAATACTGTACTGTTTAAGTGCTACCCCTTATTGGCTTATGTAAGTTAGTAAAAAAGCAAGCTATTTGGTTGCCCTAGATCCCTTCTTTAAGCGTGATACAATTCTGGAATTGGTTCTATAATGTTTTATGCATGACTGGGCTAAAGGGAGCTAACTTCTGAACAATTGTATTTATAGGGGTTGATTTACTAACGGCAAAAAAGTGGTTCACTTTGTAAGGTAATTTTCCCCAAAGCTTAGTAAATGTGATGAAATGTCACATTGCAAAGAATACCCAATTTCATGCAAGGAAAAAAATAACAAGCATTTTGCTTGCACATGATTTGATGATGGAAGTCATCAGAGTTTTACCTCATTCACTAAGCTCTGGGGAAAATTCCTTTGCAAAGTGAACTGTGTATTTTACCTTTAGTAAATCAATAGTGTTTATTGCCTGCTAAGCGTGCATTTGTTTCTGTTTTTGTTAAATGCTATTTATGATGTGTTGGGCAGATGTTAAACTCTACAAACTGATTGATGTTTTCATCTGTCTATAAAGTTTTTTTGTAAAAAGGAGACTCTGCTCTCTCTCTTTCTTCTTTTACAGGAGCTAGACACCAACCTGGCCGCCTTAACAGCTGCCTTCGAAAGAGCTACCACAGAGAAAATCCGCTGTCAAGAGGAAGTGAACAGAACTAACAAGACCATTGAGCTGGCCAACAGATTAGTGAAAGGTCTGGAGGTGAGGTCCTACAGGGCAGGCTAATGAAGCAACCTACAGAAAGTACTTCTTTGTTATACACTACTGATCTGGCAATAACAGAAGCACTTAGCTGGGAAACTGATGAGCTGAAAGGAATTATATCATTATCATGCATTTATTTTCATGGCAAAAACGTGTTTCTGACCTTACTACATTTCCAGCATCTCTTTGTTGAGCTTCAACAAGGATGTAAAAAGCTTAGCCTGAATCAGAAGCATTACATTTTGGAATATTAAGTATTATGTACCCAGTGTAAATGTGATTAATTAAAATGCAAGGAATGCTAATAACAATAAAACAATGTTAATGGAGCTTTTAAGGGCCACTGTGTCCATGAATAGGTTATCACTAGGCCAGTTAATTAACTCTTAAAGAATAAAGACCATTCCATCAACTCTTTGTGAACAACTTATGGCTGGTACAAAGAGGGTTAATTAATCATGACATTCAATAACTGTTTCAGGTTAAATGTTATTTTTGGGCAAAGCATTGACTCTGTATTTTTATTTATAGATCTGGAAGGAATTAGACATATTTCCCTTTGACATCCATTTCAATCAAGTCACAAAAATTACTCAAATTCCAATAATGCCCACTTAAAGATTAATGTAATGTTTTTTTCCTATGGTTGACTGCTACCATAGGTTATTCCATTGTAATGGGATGTGATTGAATTTCAATTGCAAAGTCAAAAGAAGGGGAAAGTAAGAGTTAGGTAAACACATGACAAACATTTAGCTTTATTTTGTTTATTGCATCTGGTTTGGGTGTAGAAAGTTCCCAGTAGGAATGTTGTGGGATATAGCACCTTACTAAAACCTATACTCTATGTAGAGGTGTAGATGTTCATTGTTGACCTCCTTCTGGAAGTGTTCTTTGCCTATTCTCCTAAAGTGGCCCTGATGCCAGGATATAAAGCCAGAGTGTCCCCTTGTCAAAGCATGTCCCCTTTTGACGCTGTCGTTCCTCCTGTTGGCCCTTCATCAATACTGTGTCCTGCAATGTAGAGGTGAACAGGAGAAACCAAAATGCCCTGTGAGGGACCTGCTATCTGACACATCTGGAAGGGCTGGATATCAGCGGTACCCTGAGCTCTTCAAGAGGGTGAAGACATGGCCCACTTGAGATGTACATTTAAACCTTCTTTTTTCACAGGGGACCACTCATGCAGCTTTCACAACTTGGTGACAGGGAATGCTCTATCATACTTCGCAAGTCAATGACCCTCCTCAAATAAGCATATGATCAGTGACCTCAGAACAGTCAGTGGCTTATTAAAGGAACTTGTACTAATTTTACATATATAACCGTTTTAAAGAAAAATTTACAAGATGACCATGTGCTGCAGTAGTGGTCCCGACCACAGATACAGGATGTGTGCAGTAGTGGGAGGGGGAATTGCAGGCATGGTGGGGGTGGGAGAAGGGGGGTACAAGCATGGAGGGTGATGAGTAAAGAGTGGCGAGTGAGGGAAGGTGCAGTCTTGATTAAAAGGGAGGTGCAGGCACAGGGGATGTTAAAGGAAGGGAGGTTGCAAGCACAGAGAAATGGGAGGTGCAGACACAATAGGTGCTGAGAAAAGGGGTGGTTAAGACATAGGGAGCTGCAATTGTAGTGGATGCTGAGAGAAAGGGGGCATAGGTGCAGTTAGTAGTTAGTAAAGTGGAACTGCAGGTGCAGTAGGTGCTAAAAGAAGGGAACTGCAGGCACAGTAGATGGTGAGACAAATTTAGGTGGCTCCTGGGAGAACTTGGTGCAGTGGGGGGGAGAGAGAAGGGTTGTGAGTGCTGACGGATAGGGGGTGCAAGCACTGTGTGGGTGCAGTGCCATTTCTGATAGTTGTTTGCTGTCAGGTGACAGATCATAGAATTTTGATAATAGATGTGTCCGATAAAAATCATTGGGGTGGATTTACTAAAGGCCAATAGACTGTGCTGTGCAAGTACAGTCGAACTCATTTTCCCTAGAGCTTAACCACTTGCCTACCAGGCACTTATACCCCCTTCCTTACCAGGCCAATTTTCAGCTTTCAGCGCTGCCGCACTTTGATTGACAATTGCGCGGTCATGCAACATTGTACCCATATGAAATTTTGATCATTTTTTTCTCACAAATAGAGCTTTCTTTTGGTGGTATTTAATCGCCACTGGGCGCTTTACTTTTTGCGCTATAAATTAAAAATGTGCAAAAAATTTGAAAAAAAAAAAAAAGTTTATTTGTTTCTTTTATAAAATTTTTCAAACAGGTATTTTTTCTCCTTCACTGATTTGCGTTGATGAGGCGGCACTGATGGGCACTGATAGGCGGCACTGATGGGCACTGATAGGCAGCACTAAAGGGCACTGATAGGCAGTACTAATGAGGTGGCACGGATAGGCGGCACTGATAGACAGCACTAATTAGGGGTCACGGATAGGCAGCACTGATATGCAGCACTGATAGGCGGCACTGATAGGTGACACTGATGATGGGTACTGATAGACGGCACTGACTGGCATCACTTCTGGGCACTGACTGGCGGGACTGACTGGCACAACCCCTGGGCACTGACTGGCAGCACTGCTGGGCTGCACTGGTGGGTGGCACTGGTGGGCAGCACTGGTGGGTGGGCACAGGTGGGTGGCACTGGTGGGCACAGGTGGGTGGCACTGGTGGGTGGGCACAGGTGGGTGGCACTGCTGGGCACATGTAGGTGGCACTTCTGGGCACAGGTAGGTGGCACTGCAGAGTGGCACAGGTGGGGGCACTGCTGGGCACAGGTGGGGGCACTGCTGGGCACAGGTGGGGGCACTGCTGGGAACGGGTGGGCGGGGCTAGTGGGCGCACTGCTGGGCGGAACATGCGGGTGTCACTGCTGGGCACCGATCATCAGGGCACTGATCATCAGTGCCCTGATGATCGGTGCCGATCCCCGCTCTGACAACTGCCGGTTCTCGGCAGTACTTTCCTCACGATCTGACAGCGTGAGGAAAGTGCAGCCGAGAACCGGCACTTGCATTTCCCTGTGATCAGCGTGTCATTGGACACCGCTGATCACGTGGTAAAAGGCCGGTGGGATCGGCCTTTCACCACATCACGTGATCAGCTGTGTCCGTAGGACACAGCGATCACGGAGATCGCCGGGTGCGCGCCCCCTGGGGCGCGCAGGAGAGCGCGTTCTGGGAGGACGTCATATGACGTCCACTCAGAACTGGCCGGCCGCGGTGAAGCCGTCATTCGGCTATGCGCGGTCGGCAAGAAGTTAATAAATGTGGTAAAGTTCTGCTGATTTCCATTGTCTAATCATGTGCAAGCAAAAATTTTTTTTTTTTCCCTTGCACCTGATTGGGTATTCTTTACAAAGTGAAACTTTACCACATTGTATTTGCTAAGGAAAATAATAAAATACTTTTTCCATTGTGGCATGTAAAAATGATTTAGTTAACTAGGCTTTAAAGGAATTTGGCATACGTGCCACCACCGAAAAAAATATAATAGGGATCATATATGGTC